ATAGATAAAAGTTAGATACAGTGTAGTAGTGTTGCTTTTTGTAGGAGAGTTTAGCTATTTATAATAACATTTGTCTGCTGTTCTTTTATTTTAATGGATGTATATTTTTGAGATATTTGGTGTCACAATTTGAAGTAGACTATGTTGTTTGCGCTGTAGTGATATGACACCTATAACTAAAACTGCTATAACACGTGACCATGGGGTTTTACAGTATTGTACATTATCTTTAACAATGCTTACAAAGGGAACACTGGGAGTCCATCTTTTGAGTTAGTCCAATTATGTTTATCTGCAGCAGAATAATATAGCTGAGCTTAACTTTGAAAATAAGCTTGTCTTTTTATTCGACTCACTAGAGCATCAGAGTGCTGCCAAGGCCTTTTTGAATTTTTTTGCTGCAGATGTTGCATTGTTAAAACGCCTGTCTTGTCAAATTAGTTGTCCTGTTTCTGTCCGGCACTAATGACCCTGAGTGTGAGAAACTCTGACCGCAGATATTCTCACTGCAGCTCACGGATGACTGGGTCGCTGTGGAGCAGACATCACGGCTGCAGGGTAAGTTCAAGGGGGCGCAAGACGTCTACGTTTTGTCTCAAAGGCTGTGAGAACAACAGTAAAGGAAGTTTAAAGAAAGAAACTTTAGCAATATGATGGTAGGACTTGTCAATAATGCCGTATGCTTAATATTTCTAAAAGTGCATTGTTCCAGGTGTCATAATAATGCAAATTATTCAATAACTATTACTATAATAAAAAATGCAGATTATCTTTTAGGGTGTTACAAGCCTGGAGTTTATTAGTCTGAGAGGAAAAAGGTATAATTTTATACAAAATCTGCGCTCAACCGCAGATGTTAAAAAGTAAAAACTCATTTATATATGTTCAAACTGTAGGTGCACTCATATTTAGATTAAAAAATAGGAACATTATAGAAGAATTACATACTTTATGTCTTTAGAGCACAAATGTTCATATTTTCTAAATATATGTTGTCATACCGACTTAAGCTGCAGAAAACTGAATTTTATATTAGGCCTATACAAAAAACTTGCAGCTACAAATACAAAAGGGTTGTTGTTCATTTAAATATCTGGAGTATGCTCTATTCCGCATTACAATAGTAATTCAATCTATGCATTGTATCAATTTCAAGAATATGCCAGTCAAACCGAAAAGAAAGAAAGAAAGAAAGAAAGAAAGAAAGAAAGAAAGAAAGAAAGAAAGAAAGAAAGAAAGAAAGGGCATTTGGGGATGGGAGAATGGAAAAGAATAAAGTATTTTCCTCGCTTTGTGTGTTGGTCTTCTTTCAGCAAATAAAGTTTATTTTTGGTGTCTGGTGTCTTTTTTATGAACAGTAATCTTACCACAGTCTATTTGTGTGTGTTTTTTTAATATTACATAATTGTTTGGGAATTTTAGATTTGACACGATGATGATAAAGACACACCTGTGTCTGTGGTTGAGCATGCCCTGCTGCACACCGGAGGCCCCTTCCCTGCACGCGCCCGAGTTTACCCAATCCAAAGCAATTCCTCTGTGGCACGCGCCGACCAGCAGGCTGGACAGGGAGCTATTACTCTGGCATATAGCCTATAAACGGGTTTTCAAAACTGTGCATCCTCACACGATAAACTGAGACTGAAAACTGAATGAATATATGGTGGCTTTAATAAAGATGATGACGCATTTATCGTCAGTAGGTTAAAATGGTCAAGCTAAAGTTACAATTTCCAGTATTTATAGAGGATTCCCCCTCTTTTTTAATAAAAAACAAAAAAAAACAAGTGTACTATTTGTGGCAGTCACTGACCACAGTAAACTCTCACGTCTAGATTATTTTGGGATCTTATTGTGTCAGAAATACTGAATTTTACAGTTGTTGGGTTACAAGAGGTTGGTTTGAACTTGGTAGAGAATATCTCATTTAAATGTTCCCGCGCAGCAGCAGATGTGAACACACAATAGGTTAGATGGGGCCCACGCTCTAAATAATCGAGTCCAATTTGAATAACTGTCGCACTTCTGACGCGTGCAAGAAATATCCCAGCTTTCCCAGGATCTGAGGGAGGGGAAAACCGTTGGCAGCTTCTTTACAGTTCAATGGGGATTTGGCTCCTCACTGGTTGAGGTTGTTGGAATGTCTTTTAACAGTCTGGGAAAAGACTCCACAATTTCCTACACTTGATTAAACCCTGTGTTAGACCGATCATCAAAAGCTACAGCTGCAGCACAAAAGTACCCCGTCTTTCACGTCTAGAGTCCACATACCAAAGTGGGAAATAATAAGCCCAAAACAAGGAGATGGGATTAGTGTGGCAGTCAAATATTCTATACTGTGTTTAATAAACGGACAATCCAATTTTAGTGAGTAGCTGGAAGTTGAATACTCTACTATAAAAAGGTCGACAGTTTTTGAAACTGTGGGTCTCGTGATAAATAAAAAATAAACTTTAATCAGATTCAGCTGAGGTTATATTCAGTTGAAGGTCTTTTTTTCCCCTGTGAGTCAGGGCAGTGTGTCTGAAAATAAACAAACAGTGCTAGCGTATGGAAATGTGCGAAGATTTAATAGTGCCCATAAAACGACCACAATGTGCTTTGCTTCCGAGCTAACGGACTTGTTCCACATATAGGCCTATGTACTTTAGACTGAGCTAAAAAAAAATCTTCTAGGTTAAATGACCTCTCCTCCCCCCTCGTTTATCTCCAGCCTTTTTGAGAGCTATTACTGTCCATTTCCTCTGGGGAATTGTTGTTAGCACGCTCGTGGGAATTCCCCCCTCCTCCCTCAAATTGGCGCGCGGTGTCCATGACAGTTGGACCTGTGAGACAGATGGGCCGAAGAGGCACGCGCCGAGCACGAGACTCGCTCATACCCCGCCCCCCGCCACCACCTCCTCCAAATACTCAGGAGTGAATCTACCCGCATACTGCAGAAATTGGCTGAGCGGAAAAACCAATCAAGTTAGTCTGGCAGAAAGTTAACCTGGTGTGAAGCTTCATTATTTTTCAAAGTTTGCCCCACATCTAATCATTTAAATACCCTAGTCTTAGGCTGTAACTATAGCATAGTCTTGTTTAAATCCGGCAGTGTATACCAAGACTGTATGTTTACAAAGCAGTTAGGGGAGCATATTGCTGAGTTTTGCTTATTTTTTTTTAGATAAAAATGAAGACTTTCAAATTTGTCGTTTTTAAGACATGTTATCTGACTCTTCCGGTGTGCAAGCTTATTTAAATTTGTCATTTTTCAAATAACTTGAGGTATCATCACCTGTTCCAGGTGGAGATAAGCTGCAGAATACGAGGCTTTCCTGCCACCGTTTGGTGGTGAAATGTATTACAGTTCTTTGCAATATGTTCATGAAAATACAGACAGCCTATCTGCATCATTTGCATTGAAACTTGACCTTTGAAACTTTTGTTAAAACTGTCAGTAAGGCCACATAGAAGATAATGCTCACCAACATGTGCTTCTATACCTTCCGCAGGTATAGCTGCTAAACGTTTAAAGTAGGTAGCTTTTGCACTATATGGACAAGAGTACTGAACATCTATACATTACACCTACAGGAGCTGCTCAACCCATGCCGGAGAAGGTTCGCAGCCCTGCAGTTATTGGGTTAGAGCTTTGGAGACTTTTACTCAATGTGCGCCTCAGTACTCGGCGACCCTGCTCCATAACTTTACTTGGTCTGAAACTTTGTCTTAGTTGCTGAAGTTCGGTCAAATTTTCAGCAAAACCACTTACAATTAGTTGATCGTGGAACATCATAGGGGGAAACATCAAGACATTTCAATGGCATCCTGTCACTAATCGTGCTCCAGAAAGCCCCATTGTTTCACAAATATTTGCAAAGTCAGAGTGCGGCAAGGTGCTTGATTAGACACTGAACACATGAATTCAAAGGCTCAGTGGGTTTTCTCCATAAAGTGCACATTGGACTTCAGTATCGCTGGAAGACCAATTTGCTGTCTTTTATGTAATGCAAAAAAGAAAAAAAAATCATAAAACTGCTTTTGCAATCTTGCACTATGAATATTTACTTTCTCCAAATGTAAAAGATGAAACTTTTTTTTAAGAGTCCTGCATCTGTGCCTTATCTTGCTGATGGATAGCTTGCAAGCAGCATTTTGTTGTGGTTGATTAAGGGAATGTTAATTTAAGCTATTTTATTTCATGTCTGGCACCCAAACAATGAAACACACACCACTGGCGTAAATGCACTAAAATGCATAAACGATCATTGGGCAGGACTACTTCTCATGATTTATCCGGTTTCAACATCAAGTTTTTATTCCTCAGAAATAACTTGTTCATCTTTTAATCTGGCATCATTTAAGGTGTATAACTATTTCCAATTGACGTATCAACATGCGGTCTATAATAACAATATAGTTACTTTTTTTTTCATCTCAGTCGACTTTTATTGGGACATATTGGCTTGGTGGAGAAAAAAAAGTGGTATGTGTTCAAGGGTAACATTTGAAAAAAGGAAAAAGTAGGTCTAGTGGCAGCTACTTGCGAATTTCTACAGCGCGGTTATCTGCTCTCCCAACAGAAAAACAACAAAAAATAATTTTTTGTTTTGTTTTGTTTTGGGGTTTGTTTGTTTGTTTGTTTGTCTGTTTGTTTGTTTGTTTTTTTTGGGGGGGGGGGGGTTACACTCCCGTGAAAGGCCACTAGATGGACCTCTGTAGTGTGCAAAAGTGCTCGGATCCTGTGATGCTGATTTCACTGCCACATGTAATATTAATGCTGTTTGCAAACAGGATCTGGGGTATGTTCAAAAAGTCCATTGCTGAATTAATGTGAGTCTATCTTGACTGGCAGCGACGAGCACCTTCACCCCAGCAGCATAATTAATGTATATCCAGAGTTGTAAGTAGCATGTACGTACTGCTCCTTTAATTTCTGAGCCGATTTCCAGAAAGCAGCAACCTGTAACAGGCTCAGCGATCCTCCCCCTGATGGATTATTTAACAGGCGCTGAGTCCCATGTCGCCATCTGCTATAGGAAGAAAAACACAGCGGAATATTCCCTGGGGCGCATGATACGCGATAGTTATTCAGCAGCAAAAAAAGGTTAATAAACTAATTTGGGGGGAAAAGATAGTTTAGACCGTCTGGTAACCCAGAACACAACTTGTGCAACAGGTGGATGCTATTGGAGACAGACAGCGGATAACCTACTGAGCTACAACGTCGGGCCAGACAAAGCCTAAGAAAGAGGTTAGTTTGTCAGTCGGGTATGAAGTTTTATTTCAGCATGTAAATATTGCACTACCTGGAAAACAAAAACTTATGAACGATAAAGGGATCTTTCATTTGAACAGCGCTTTGGGAAGACCCATGGAGCGATAACCAAGCGTCTCTCCCACCAACACCCCACCCCAAAATTAACCCGGCTACTGACATGATCCACTCATTTATAAATACAACTCTGACCCTATCCGCACTATCTGCACGGTGATCGGGTCAACGGAGGCAACCAAAGGAAGGAAGGAGTCGCGCAATCTGCAGCAGTCATGGTGGTGGAGGGTGACAAGACCCTGCTGGCCGCAAGGCAGGGGGACGTGCAGACTTTAAAAGTGCAATTAACGGCAAATGCGCTGACCAGCGACGTCAAGGATGCGCTGGGAGCTTCGCCCGTCCACCACGCAGCCCGGGCGGGGAAGTTAGCCTGCCTGCGGTTTTTGGTGGAGGAGGCAGGGCTGCCGGGCGATTGTGTGGCAAATAACGGGGCAAGCGCGGCGCACGACGCAGCAGCAACAGGCAACCTGGCATGCCTACAGTGGCTACTGACCCAAGGTGGATGTCGGCCAGAGGTGAGTTACTACAGTTGTAGCTGGATCGGTCTAAAAGTGTAGCAGACATTAGCCTAACTCTGCTTCATCCGACTTGGCTGTCATTTCTCATCTGTGGAGCCTACTCCAACCCCCATTTGAATCAGCTCTCCTCCTTAAAGCACATTATATCTATTTTAGTGCCTTAAACCTAAACGTTTTTCCTAACATACACATTAAAATCCTTCTTCTTAGGAATAAAGTCTTTAAGCTTTTATTTTAACATAACTTTCTGTGGGGTTTGCGGGTTGGGTTGTTTTGTGTCACTGTCAGGTATTTTGCTCCCAAGTCCATTTGGTGTGCTTTAAATGTCCTGATGATGTTTAAGGTTTTAAGGTTTAAAGGTTTTGACTATAAAAGCAGAAGGTTTAAAAACCCACTGGTCTTTTTCAAAAAAAGACCAGCCTTTCACAAGGCCCTGAAAGTTGTTTTCATATTGTTTTGGTAAGACAGTGAAATGCAACAAATTCAAACACTGTTGTAGGTATGAAAGAAATTACATTAAATACCAGAAGTAAAGTAAGTACACAGAAAATTATACTTTTTTAAAAAAAATTTAATTTAAGGCTAAAAACCTGGTTTTCAGTGTTATGTCATGTTTCTATGGTAATAAAGTATGCAAAACTGGATTTGCAAATCCAATATCTCCTGTACAGTAAAAACAGTGACTCACAAAAGGCACAAAAAGAAACACATAATGACAGTGTAGTTTGATATTATAATGAGGGGTGGTGTTTGGTGCTGTAAGGATTGTGGTTGAAGTTTCACATGATGAAATAAATCTTATTAACCTTTTCGACCTTTTATTGTTCCTATTTGTGCACAATGCGTTTTTTCACCTGGGAAGGAGTCATAGTAAACGCTCCAACACAATAACATAATCCATACCATAAGTATTCAGTGGGTTTCTCGTTTTATTAGGTAATACATTAAATCTCTCAGCTTTAATTTGTGGAGGTTTACATCAATACTCAAAGGCCTGTTTGAGGAATTTTCTATCCCTCTTAACACATTTCTTGGGCAGCTGTGTGTCTTTTTAGTGCTCATGCACATAAGAACTGGTGGCAACTAGTGAGTTGACATTTAGACTCAGGAGTTGTCTGCTGATATTAAGAGTAAAGTGTTGACAGTGTCACTAAAGAAACCACTGGACCCACAAAACGATGAGACTCAAAAAGCACAACTCTATCAAAGAGGTATCAAAGATGCCTTGCAAAAAATAAAAATTAGACCTCTATTATTAAAAAAAAATGAAAACAGGAGCAGAAAACTTGTGAGGATGTGCAAAATCCACTCAAGAATGATCTTAGGGCATATTTTCGCTTTATTTGAATCTCAGATGATTCTTAAATCGATTTGCCTTTTACTATTTAAATCCCAAAATGTGGACACCTTGTAAAGGTTATTCTATGTTGATACAAGTCTTTTCAAATTGAAGCTGAACTTTGCCTTATGTATAATTGCTCATGAAATACAGATATCAAGATACAGTTTTACAGTTTAGCGTGGCCCCAATTTGCAACACTTAAATGTATAAACACATAAAAGTTATTCTTGTATATATTTATTTGTAGTATACTGCATATTCCAGCATATTCCAGAAAGATACACAGATGTGCATCATTTGTGCCCTTAAAAGGAAATTCAGATTTAGAGTTTACCTATGTAACCAATATGATAATGAGGAGGAGGAGGAGCTTTGCTTTGACTCACCCACATGGGTCTCATTTATCTTCACCTTCTTGAGCAGAGGTAAAAGTGAAACTGACAAAGTGACAAATTCATATTATGTTATTATGAGTACTACACAGTCCTACAACCCTGCAGTATTAAGTTATCCACGTGAAGAACGGTCATAAGCACTCCATCTTCAAGTGACAAAGAGTGCCCACAGATGAAGTGGTAACATGGCTGGTATGTAGTCAAAAGCACTCAGTACACTTGAGTGCTTAATGCTTGCTTTCACCTTTGTTTTCTTTTTTTCTTGTTTGTGTTACGAAACTGTGATCATGAGTCTATTTGATGCTAACACCATTAGTCTGTAGCAGTGCACTACCTCAGACCTAAGCATCTGTGTTAGTAAGATGTTAACAGATGACATGTCTGTTCAAGGACCACACAAGTTTGGTCTTTTAGGTTTTCTGTGTTAGCTATTAGTCTGCCTCTTGTTAAAGCTAATTGTTTTATAGCACTGAGAGAAATTCTGTGCTTTATATTCTTGCTACTGTGGTAAGTTATGAAGGTTTTTTTACTTATTTCAGAAAATAAAAATTGATTCCCCTTCCCGTAACAGTGAACAGGGTGATCGTGGCTCAAGAGCTGGCAGTTTGTCTTGTGATCGGAAGGTTGCCGGTTCGAGCCCCGGCTCTGACAGTCTTGGTCGTTGTGTCCTTGGGCAAGACACTTCACCAACCGCCTACTGGTGATGGCCAGAGGGGCCGATGGCGCCATATGGCAGCCTTGCTTCTGTCAGTCTGCCCCAGGGCAGCTATGGCAACAATTGTAGCTTGCCTCCACCAGTGTGTGAATGAATAGTTGCATTGTAAAGTGCTTTGAAGGTCTCGAAAAGTGCTATATAAATGCAATCCATTATTATTATTAACAGTACAATATACTTCGTAGCCAGTAAAAGTGGCTAGAAAAAAGTATGGGTATCAATTATTTTCTGGAGGTTATTGTTTTCTGGAAAAACAAGTAACCAGTTCAAATTAAATTAGTTATCAAATCATCATTTTATAATGCAAAGTCAGGCTGACAGTTGGTCACAGTTATTTTAAAAGGAGGGATTACAGGACTCCCTAGTTCAACATGTTCCTTATTTGTTTGCTTTACAGGCCAGGGACAGTTCTGGTGCCACTGTTCTTCATCTCGCATCCCGCTTCAGTCACCATGAGATCACCGATTGGCTGCTGAAGAATGGTGAGGTAGACCCTGGGACCCCCACCAATACAGGTGCCCTGCCTGTTCACTATGCTGCTGCCAAGGGAGACTTGCCCTCTCTCCGACTGTTATTGGGGCACAGCCCAAAGTAAGAGCAACATGATATTGTCTCCACAATTTTGTCTTTATCCTGCTGTTGATTGATAGTCATATATTTTGGTAACTTGTAGGATTTCAGTTGATGTTTTGAGCAGGAACTACAGATGCTCTTTATTTAGAACATAATCTCTAAAAGCAAGTCGGGTGCCACCACCTACATTTTAAAATGCTCAACAAAAATTCTATAATATTGTATTTCAATTGGGGAGGGGCATATGAACTGCGATATGTATACAAATTGCAGTCCACTTTCTTAACTGCATATCCAATCAAATGTTTAAGAATATAAAACAGAAAATTAATGCATAGGGCTGTTGTTTCTGAAATATGTAACAGTAGATCAATTCCACAGATTCAGGTTTCAGACTCAGTAAGACCACTTAGAAAGTCTGATGCTGATAAATGACGTACTGTGATTTACTAAGGTTAGCGCATCAACTCTTATTTCTTTTCCGAGGTTTAAAATGTTTAAGTCTGCTACAGAAATAGCCGAAAACACCAACTTTCACTCGTAGTCTGTAGAGTACAACTTGGCACTAGGGTGAAGTAAGTTGAACTTAAAGATTTAATTTGATACCTGATACTAAATGCTACCTATTACAATGTAAATGCTCATATATTGTTTTGAAAACAAAGGAAAAAAACTCTTGGTGGTTTAACTTTCCCAAAATACTGCACACTACTGCATCATTAATGCTGATTAAGTAATAATGCTGATATTGGTCTGTATAGCTGCATTTTAAGTATATATTGTATATTGTACATATTTTTAAAAAATTGGTAAACTGTAAGAAAAAACGTGTTTTAATAATGAATTAATCATCAGGTTATTTACTTGATTAATCAATTAACAACACCAGTGCAAAAGTCCTAAATATTGGATTTCCTAATACCTGAAGTCTAAGAAAAACAGCAAATTAGTGAATATGTAACTAGCATTAACTTATATTAATATTTTAAATGTTGTTTTATTTAACAAGACAAGTCCTACTGAGGTAAGACATGGACAGCACCATTACAGGTTTTAAATACAACACCAGCCTATAGAACAGTTAATTGACCAGTAATTGTAAGATATGTGTGCATATGTGCATGGGTGATTGCCTCCTAATGAATATTACCCTAATCAATGCAGTGTCAGACCCACCTGTGCCAGAGATAATATTTGCTCATACTCATAACCACTGTATTAGTGCCATGATGAGGGAGTCATTGGTTGAGTTCTCTGCAGCAGCAAAACCAGATAAAATCTTTTATACATGTTGAGATATATATATATATAGATAGATAGATAGATAGATAGATAGATAGATAGATAGATAGATAGATAGATAGATAGATAGATAGATAGATAGATAGATACTTTCTACCTCTTCTTCTTTTAAAGAAACCAGTCGTCATTTTACAATCAAAGTTTGCCTTAGCACTCATGTCAGATGCATTTAGCTAACAGGTACGGCTGTTAGTTAACACGTCCCAGAGCCACATGCATGGATTAGGTGCTCAATCACGTGGCTGTTGTTTGGTTTGTTTATTGCTGTAGCCATCACTAGCTCTATTATTACTTGACATACTATAAAAGTTATAAAACAGAAAACATTAACTGCTCAGTGAAAGGATATTCTTTGTGCTTGTATCTGAACAACTATCAGTAAGAATTACATACTGCTACCATAAAGAAACAGAAATGAAATAATGGCTCAGTCTTTAACCCAAACTGTTTTCTAGAACTAGACTGACTTAAAATGACAAGCATGAGCCTTGTGCATTGACCCTTCAATATTGTGTGTTTGCACCCCAGATGGACGCATACCATCTGAAATTTTAATGAGTCTCATGGACATGTTAGCTCCCCGATAGCTGGGCTTCATTCACTCTTCTCCACCACCCCTCCCACTGTTGCTGTTTACCACCATCACCATGGTGACACACAGTAGCTCCAACTGGTGATAAGATAATGAGGAAAACAAATCCATCTGAAAAGACAAGCTGCTCTCTAAGCAGTAGCCTCGGGCATTGTTTAGATTGCAATTTTGCAGCCGAGAGATAAAATGGTCGTTTCGGGGTTTATTACAAGCTGCAAATTTGTATTAATGAGTTTTAAGAGGCAAAAAATCACCAGGACTTTTTACTCTCACAGCATTGTTCATCAGTATAAACCAATGGGTTTAAGGTTTAGGAAAGAACTCCTTATACATCATCAAAAGAGTGAATATGTTTATACAAGACCTCATAGAGTATTTCCCCCTATACTTAGTAGTCTTGAGCTACACCTCATTTCTTGGTACTTTGCCTCCAAGGAGTTGCAAGCAATAGTCTTTGAGGCTTTCTGAGCAACCTTTAATTTTTCTTTGGAGATTGGCTGCTTTTTTGTTTTGTAAGATACTTAACACTGAAAAATGAATCATTCAAGTATCAAAGCTGTACATAACTCAAGAGATGAACCATTTTTGTGTCTACACATAACAAACAACTTAGCAAAGGAGCAGTTTTTAATTGTATCTTTAAGCACTTTGTTAGTAGTTTCCTGTCACATTATTTGTTCCTATTTCTAGTTGAATCTATGAAAAATAACAAACGTAACACAGTTTGACAGGGATAAATTAGTATTTCTGCACCAGAAAGGCGATTCTCAAAGAGCTTTTAACTGAAAATGCAACAAGTCCTGAAAAAAATTGAGGAAACCAGACAAGTGAAAGACATAAGAAGAAGTGCCAGGCCTTAAAAACTACATACAACTGATGAACAGAAACTAAAAATCATATCCCTGATGAACAGGAAGTAGTTTAAGGAACTGACACAGGGACCTTCAGTTAATCCATCTACTGTCCACTAAACCCTCATCAGAAATGGTCTCTGTGGCTGCCAATAAGCTGTTCTTAAGGAAGGCAAACAGGGAGAAAAGGCTGAGGTATGGCATATTACACAAGAACTAGACTGCAAATTAGTGACAACACGTCTTATGAATCCAAATTTGGAATTTCTTTTTTAAAATCGTCATCATTATTTATGGAGGTCATTTGGTAGTTTCAGGGCCTAACGCCAGTTGCAAACTACAAAATACTGTTCATCAGTTGTCTGTAGTATCCCCCAAAAGACAAATTATCAGCAACCGACCGATGTGGATATGGTTTGATAAATAGTGTGTTTTTGGTTATTCAGCCGTATAAATAAAACATTTAGCTTAAATCTTTAAAAAAAAATCAGCTTGATACGCATGAACTCATGAAAGCAAGAACACACCCCTTTGAATGGTAACAAACATCATTGTTTGGGTGCGCAATCAGACCGGGACGTATTAGTGTCTTTACTTCCAGGGTGTCTGTTGGGTTTCAAATACACATCTAAATTGGTAGTTCACCCCCACCCACGTCCCAGTAAACCAAAACGAAAACCCTCCTGGGCTGTGTCTCTGCTGATAGCCTCAGTACACAAAAGAGTGAATGAATGTAAGATGGTGAAGGAGGGAGTGAGCGTGAGAGGCTACAGACAGGTTATGCAATCTATTAGTGCAGCTTAAGATCTTTGGTCGTGCCACAGTTTCTTCATGCAGTCGAAAAGGCTGCACTTCTGCATTAAGATAATCCAGAAAAGTGGCCGCCTTAACCTCCTCTGGAAACATGCAGAAGGAACAAGCATCAAATATTTGATTACTTTCATCAAATCAGCTTGTTCATTTCTTGCTTTTCACAGATTTGTTGCGTAGCAGTTGCTGAAACAGGAGTGGTTATGACTGAAATGGTTAGCGAAATCCAGAATGTAAACCCATTTCTATTAACAAAGCATGTCCTCTCCCTCCAAGAAATAACCTTGTGTTGGGTCGGGTGTCGCTCATGTATCTGATGATCTGAGCATCAAGAGCACGGGAAAACCTCCCTGCTGAAAAACATAAGAAAAGACAGAACATTATAGCTAGTTTAAACATTTATTTAGACCATAGTACTTAATAAGATTATTGAACATTAAGTGTGTTTTCTAAAGATGTGTACGCTCTCTCATTTTTCTCTGAAAAACATATTTGTTATAGTCCAACAGGTGTAGCAGCTCAAAACTGGTGTTTATTCTGTCTCTGACTTGTTTATATATAATGTTGTTTGAATTCGTGATCAGATACACGGAAAGTAAAGGGTAAACAGGTCAGTGGAGTTTTTTAGTCAGCCTGTGGCTTAGCTGCACTTTTTTTTTTTTAATCTTCTTAATAACGTCTTGGTACATGTTGAGTAGACCCACTTTCTGCTCTCTTTAATAAAAACAGGTTTAAACTGAGGGGCAGTAATGTAAACAGGCTGCATTTTTGTAGTGCTTTTCTAGTCTTAGTGACCGCTCAAAGTGCTTAAATTACAGCCCACACTCACTTTCTCATTCACAGATGATAAAAACAAATCAGGTACCCGGTGTCACGTCATCTCACAGACTGCAGTTGGGGATCAAACCTTCAGATTAGTGGGCAACTGAGCCACAGCTTTCTTTGTCAGACTTCTTTCTTTATCAAGTAGGTAGCACACCTGCCATCAGGATAACATCTGTGCAGTGTGTTTCTTAAAGTGAATCAATAAATACTTTCACAGATTTCAACATGAATGATGTTTGGTTACGAAGCCAAACAAAGTATATTTTATTCAGTTTTCATCATGCACAGTGTCAGTTAGAGATGTAAGCCAGAAGTGTTGCTTATATGTAGAACCACATCAGACATCCCTGTATGTTCCCGCTGGTTTATATCGCTGTTTCAGTTATACCTTTGTGGCTGTGCTGTCAATTACTGTATATAGAAAAGGTGCAGATTAGAGCTAAGTATTGTGCCATCAGATTTCCATTGTGAAATATGTAAAAACATACAATTTCATACAAAGAACTCACAGGTTGGGAAGCTAAATAAATCATATGATATTTTTCATTATTCAGATGGGAAAAACCACTGAGCAGGTAACAAGCTTTTATCAAGCAAGAAGGCCATTAGTGTGACATCAATTACTTTACTAGTAATGAAGACAACCTTGGTCTTTGTTACCGTGTACATGAGTGGCTGACGAGGTAGCGTCCCTTGTGCCACTTGCTAGCTGTGTTGTCACACAAGGCTAAGCACTTTCTTAGCTCTTTGAAATCTACACCAGTTCTCCACTTCTTTGGTAGAGAGAATTCAAGCCTATTCACTTTGAAGAGTTGTGACAAAGGGAGACTGTGCTTTGTTAGCCTGGTAACCATCAAGATTTTCAGCTATGATTAATGATAAATAGAACTTTTCTTCTACACGGATGGCTGTGTGCAGATAAAATTGTTCCCACTTTTGTTACACTCATGAATAAATAATTTGACTGCCCATTTCCTGATGACAGGAATGCAGATTACTTCCCCTTCTTATTTTGAAATATTTAGTATGTACTTTTTCTGCTTGGAGCTTTTTTCTCAGTCACCCAATAGGCCCTCCTTTTTTTGATCTTCAAAGGTTAAGTTATTCCTTAGCATATACTCTTCCTGTCTCAGAATAGGACCTGACTGATTGTCATTCACATGTGGCGTTAAGTGAGGCAAATCCTTTTAAGGGAAAGCACGACAGGTTTGTGTTTGACTCTGCAGGAACCAACCATCCACTTAAGCTCTGCCTCTCAGTTTACTCAACTTCTGTTGCTCTCTGGCTACTCAGTTTGTCTTTTCTACTTGCACTGTTGGACGAGCACAAAGCAAGCCAGGTAAAGCCAGTGGAGTGATAATCCTCTTAAGAGACTCCTTGCTCATTTGTCAGAGTCCAAATAAAGCACTACCTTATAGGATTTAGTGGAGATATGTTTGTTCACTCTCTGACCTCCCATTGTGACTATAAAGATCTGGGACAAGAAGGGATACAAGCATCAGATGAGGTTTTGCATTGAAGGCGGAGCCAAGGGTAATAAAGGTGAGCAGGATCTGGCTGTGCATCACTGCTGTCTGTTCTCAAAATAGCTGCATGTTGATGCTGACTAGTGTATCTTTTCCTGTCCCAGCTAATTGTTAACTACAGCTTACACTTTCAGTTTTTTTAGATTAATACCATTGCTTACATATGAAGATTTAAAAAGATAAGGCTTATGTTGTTTCAGGTTATTTTCATAGAGTGCTCTGTGCACACATGACGAAACTGATGTTTTGGCTGGCAAATAACGTGCACACCCATCATCTTGTAAGGAGCAGACACAGCCAGGTTTCGTCTCTTCAGTATAAAGACTGCCATCTTTTGTCAGAATTGCCACAAAGAGATTTTTTTTTGTTTCGTTTTTTGCCTTTGTGACAATTGAAATACAATTTAAAATGAAAAATCAGCAAATCTACAACAGAATGTATTGGTCAGTCATTAACACCTGACTGAAATACGGTGGTGGGACCTTAAGAGAGCTATGTACAATCAAATACCCACAAATCTCAATGAACTAAAGCAATACTGTAAATAAGAGTGGGGCAAAGTTCCTTCACAACAATGTCAGAAAACCATCACTTCATGTCACTTTTGCTAAAAGCTACTGAATCATGTGGTGTACTTGGCTTTTCTCACACTGCTTCTGAAGTTTGGACTTTTTTTGTTACACAAATAACGTCAAATATCACATGTTGTTGCTCTGCAGCGGTTGTTTTAAACCAATTTAGAACCTGGTATGAACCAGATTATTTTTCTTTCATGATACATTAAAGCATAACATTGAAACAGGGTTTTACAGGTCTGTATTATCACCAATTTGGTTTTTATTTTTCTTATTATGCAGAAGTCTTTCATTTTCCTTACTGATTCACTTTCCTACAGCCTTGTCAACTCCCAAACAAAAAATGGTGCCACACCACTCTACCTGGCCTGCCAGGAAGGCCATCTGGAGGTTGTCCAATACCTGGTCAAAGACTGTGGAGCGGATCCGAGCATTCGAGCCAATGATGGGATGACACCTCTGCATGCTGCTTCCCAGATGGGCCATAACACTGTCATTGTCTGGCTGGTGCGTTGGACTATCAGAACACTGTAGATCATGTCTTAATAATGGAATAGTTTTTCTCCGCCAATTGTGGGGGTTTTTTTTAAACGGAACAAGTGAAGGTACAATACTGATATTTATGATTAAGCAAATTACTTAATATTAGTAGTATTAGTATAATATGCTTGTGATATCTAAAATAGCTTGTGATATCACCAGAAGTCACATCATAATTGAACTTTTAACCAAAATTTTCCTACATCATTTACTTGAAAAATGTGCCAAAGCCACCGTTTACTACTGGAGTCACAAAAATTGGAACAAAAGCAGCTGAAATCTTTCTGATGACTGCTAAGCATTAACCTCCATCTCGTTTCCTGCAGATGAGTTTCACCGAGATCAGCCTGACAGACAGAGATGGTGACGGAGCCACGACGATGCATTTTGCAGCCAGTCGTGGTCACGCAAAGGTCCTCAGCTGGCTTCTGCTGCATGGTGGGGAGATCGTCACTGACAACTGGGGAGGGACCCCCCTCCATGATGCTGCAGAGAATGGTGAACTTGAGGTGTGTGTTAGGTCTTATTGGATCAGCACAGTAGCAGAATATGTGTAAAGAAGCGCTCTTTCAAGAATTGTTGAAGTATATAGAGAAAACTATGTTTTTCATGATTATGTTTTTTTTTCTTTTTTTGCAAAAGAGTTGATCAGTGTGGACTTTTAAGAAGCTCACTGAAACACAAGTCAATAGGGCAGAACAAAGGTTGCTCAGTCTGAGAACAACAAGCTTATTCCAGCTTTCACTGGTGCTTGGTAGAAAGCTTGTTAAATTCATGCTTTAAACTATTTCCAAGTTTCTGTAGACTTTGAAACAGAAACTTTTTCATGAGAGAGAGAAAAATGAATGATAACTAAGAGAAAATCAAAGAAAAGCATGATACTGCTACATTAAGTATTTTGCTTTTAGCTAGGACATTTACGTACATTAATTAGTTGATCAGTGAGGGAGTGTGGTGATATAATATGGTGTTTTTCTGGTCTGATGCAGTGTGAAACAAAACACAATTTGTGTTAACATGTACTCTAAGCCTTGCATTTATCCACTCAATATGTCAAACATTTTACATGTTGAGAGTCTGTCACACTGAACTGAGTGGAGTGTAAACAGTTTTTATCGTTGCTAATTGAAGATGAGTTTAAGCAGCCTGTTTCACAAACACTGACATCAATCCACTCTGGAACTTTCTCTGTCTGCTTTTCAGTGCTGTCAGATCCTTGTTGTTAATGGAGTTGACCTGGGCATAAGGGACCAGGATGGCTTCACTGCAGCAGACTTGGCCGAATACAATGGCCACTCCCAGTGTGCCAAGTATCTGCACACTGTGGAGAACATGGTAAGAGTACATGTCTAAAAAAATGTAAATGTTGGATGGATGGATGGATGGATGGATGGATGGATAGAAGTCAGCATAAAGTCATATGTTTTATACACACACACACACGCATGCACACACCCATAGATAGATAGATAGATAGATAGATAGATAGATAGATAGATAGATAGATAGATAGATAGATAGATAGATAGATAGATAGATAGATAGATAGA